GTGAATAAAACTGTGTGTGGGCTTCATTATCTATATAGAAGGGAGGGTACTCTTAGTGAATAAAACTGTGTGTGGGCTTCATCATCTATATAGAAGGGAGGGTACTCTTTGTGAATAAAACTGTGTGTGGGCTTCATNCATTGGTTTGTGTGAGAAAATTACGTCGTTTTCTCAAAAATTGATGACGTTACTCTCACAAACAAGTGACGTAACAATCAATACCTGCTCCCAAGAGAAGATAACTCTGCAATACGCAAAGACGGAATATAGATAGGAGGGTACTCTAGCAAATAAAACCCTGTGTGGAACTAAGTTCTTCACCATTATAACTGATGCTGTTACCTTTTGCCTTAAATACATATAATCATTTTGAAAATATGGTAGTTAATATGATCTCAACATGCTTCCGAACTGGTTACAAATTGTATTTAAAGAGCACTCTGTCTAAACTGGTACACCTTAGGACCACATAATGTACATCATTTGGCCAGTTTGTAGACATTCAGTTTATAGAGAGTCTACTCGTCATACACCAACACTTTCGAAACCAAATTATTTGTGTGGTTTAGATAAAAATCTGAATTAGAGTCTGGTTAATTAAGACAGATCTAGAGTACACTGTAAAAACTCCAATCAACTAAAGAATTCTGAAGAATTGTTTATGAAAACCATTGAACTACAGTATACTGTAGATATATCCCTATATAGCATATGGTCTTGTTTTCCTGGATTCTAATTGGCTAAACCTTTGTCGTGTGTTCGCCGAAAAATTGCATATCGACCTCATGTTTCTGTTTTGTATTCTACATGACCATATTGACCTCATATTTCTAAACTTAGAACTGGATATTTCTGTACGTATATAGTTGTATATGAAAATGTGTATTTCTTACTTTTGTTTATCTTTATTTTCTTTTATCATTTTGCAAAAATATTTAATTCACTCATCAAGTTTTAGTCCTAATTACAATTGATTTCATTCGCTATACTTGGATGTCCAACACCACATGTTATCTAGCGACATGATATGTATTATACAAGTATAGGATGTTTGTCTCGGTTAATACATTGTGATATATATGGTCCTTGACAAAAAGTCCATAACGGATAAGTAATGGTCATCTTAAGAGATAAATATATTTTGTATAGAGAGTAAAATATTAGCAAAGAAGAAAATATGTAATTTGGCGTTAATAATAAATCTAGGTCTCAGCAAACTTCCTGTAATGAAAGCAAGTGAAATGAAAAGAGAGAAATGCAAACACCAACACAATTCAAATTAGTGTGAATTTGTACAATCTGCCATTGTGTTGGACACCATTAGTCCATTACTGCAGGACAGCAAATAATACCAGAACTTTTACTGGAAAAAAGTAAGAGTTCCAACAAAACACATCTATGTAAAAACAAGTAAAATATATCAAACAGTGTTAACTATGAGGCATTCGCAATGTGTTACATCAGTGAACAAGAAAGATAACTCATCTAGGTGTGTTCTAAGCTACTCACATTTTCCTCATTTTCCTGTTTTATCTGAAGTTACAATGCTAGTTTACTCACAACAACGTCATGCACAGGCTATAACAGACCAAGAAACTCCAGTTTTATTCAGATGAAACTGGTGATACAATGTATCATCATTTTCTTCCCTTCACTTGGAGAATAGGCCGAATCAGAAGACAAAGCGATGGTGAACAATGACTTGCAGACACAATTTTATTACAAAACGTATTTCTGTTAAATGATCATAAAAAAAATCATCAAATTAAAAAAAATAAAAATGATACAATTGAACCAACTTATTATAATAACAGATAATATGATAACTGGCTTATAATAATTTTTCCATGTACCAAATTTTCTCTATATTGATAAACTAAGAAAAATATATGTATATGGTCAAACGTGGGACCCTGCTTATTATCATATTTTCTTTCTGACATGAATGGATTTTGGCTTAAAACTCGTATGTTGTCCATGTGCGACACCTGGACAATAGGTTCAATAAGCTGTACATCGTAGCTGTTACCGTAATTTTGTTAACAGCAACTTGCACACCTAGCTGTTTATCCCAGGTTGACTAGTGGGTTCATGTTGAAGAGGTATTACAACAAGAGGCCCAGAGGGCCTGTATTGCTCATCTGTTTCTTTTGTTACATGCAACTGACATATTGGTAACTTAAGACCAAATTTGGTAACTAGAACACAAGACATTTTAACATCTCTTAAACATTTCTGAAAATATTGTTGTTTGAAACTTGAAATTTTAAAGCTTATAACCCATGTTGACCTTTGACTCCCGACTTGCACTTAAAGTTGACCTTTGACCTCATTACTGTAATAAAGAAAACAATTCACACAGCTGGTCTACATAACATACCCAAGAATAATGACCCTAGTCCAAATAGTTCTTAGGATATTGTTGTTTGAAGTTTTTAACATATTTGACCCCTGTGACCTTGAAAGTAGGTCAAGGAAATTTTAATGCGGAAACTTTATAGCACTCCATCCCAGGTACCTACTGGCCATATAGCATGACCCTGGGCCTTATGGAACTTGAGAAGAAGATTGTTAAAGCTTTTAACCAAAGTTGACATTTGATCCCCAACTAGCATTTAAAGTTGACTTTTGACCTCATTACTGTAATTGAAAAAAATATTTGCACTGCTGATCTACATAACATACCAAAGTATCATGACTCTAGTTCAAATGATTCTTAGGATATTGTTGTTTGAAGTTTTAACATATTTGACCCCTGTGACCTTGAAAGTAGGTCAAGGTCATTTTAATGAGGAAACTTTATAGCACTCCATCCCAAATACCTACTGGCCAAATATCATGACCCTAGGTCCTACAGTTTTTCAGAAGAAGTCGTTCAAAAGAAAGAGCATAACCTCACATGGCCCTTTGGGCAAGGTGAGATAACAAAAAGGTCAGGTTAGCAATCAATATAAAAGAAATGGTTTCCAATGCCAAGAATCTACCTATACACATACACAAAGGGATGCAACTCAAGCTCACTCATGACAAAACATATGCACAAATGATTTTTGGATTTCTTACAATCAACTGCTATCATAGTGTAGGAACATGCAGACTTTCAAATTAATATCAAATGTTTGTCTTTTCTCTTTAATAACTTGAATATACTCAATGAATAGACAAACAATAAGTGCATATATAATATAATTTACTACATATTTTAATTATCACTTAGATCATTCTGTAAGGCAGGGAATATGTGATTATATTGAGGATACAATATTTACAACTGGGACAAACTAAAGCAATGACCAGCCTTAAATTTGTATATGGTCATAATTTCCTGGAGTACTATCAAATACATATTAATATCGTTATTTTTATCATTGTATAAGTAAATATAATAGCACATTGTATTGATAAAATATTGTGTCCTTTCTAAGGGTGTTATGATAGTATTGCTACTACTATTTCCTATCTATCTGGGCAGTAAAACCTTGTTATAATGCTACCATTTGTTAACAAATAAGTCTGATGTTATGAAGGAGGTTGAAAATACAGCAAAGGATACATATAAAGGGATAGTTAGCAAAACTGGAAAAGGAAACCTTGAGATGTGTGAAACAAGGGGCATTATATCAAGGTTTTAGTGTAGTGCTATACAAGTATTTCTAGAAGGAATTATGATAGTATTGTTACAATAGATACTGTCATGTAACTAATAGTACTGGTGCCAACACATGTTTGTTACAGGGACTTATTGCCAGCAAATCTGTGTAAATACGTAAGTACTGGATATCTTGACACAAACATTGATCGTAAGTCTATCTGACATTGAAATAATGGTGCAAAACTTAAAAAAATTTGGTGGCAGATTATATGAAACTAAAAAAAAACTAAAAACATTACACAAAACATGCATGCTAAAAATGGATTTGAAAATGTGTTGCATTTTTTATAATACATGTAAATATTTTTTTCTGTTTGATGTAAATAATCTTCATTCCAAATATCTGATTAAAGTTTGTGCTAACAATCAGAAATTTTCTATAGAATACTTCTAAATTGGCCGACACTTACCGTTCTCACATAGGACATACAGAGCTCAAACAGGATTCCTATAAAAAAAGAAATGTATGTAGGAGGAGCTATCTCTTGTCAATCTATATTTTCAACTCACCTGTGTATCAACTAAAACTTTAATAATATAACAAGTAGAGTTTATCTCGAAGAACACAAATCTATCTCGTAGCAAGTGATGATTTCCCCAATTATCGTTAAATTAAATGACATCATGAAAACAGTACACACAATGGTAAGAAGGAACAAGTAAGTTATGACCAGAATTTTAAACCACTTTTCTGTGTAAGCAATTCCATAGTATAGTGTATAGTGGTTACCTATATTTTCATTTATACTATTCGTCCTGATGAAGAATTCTGCATGCTGAATCGGGTCCATCTGGTTATATTCCTGAAACGAAACATACACATTTATTATATATTTGATTGCAATGACAATATTTTATTTAATAATTTGAGAAGGACTGGTGGATGGTAAGATCTATGTAGGAATCCTTACCTGAATAAAACAATACCTTATGAACTATAGACTCTTTGAGTTCCATCACAATAGCAGCATGACTCATTGACTGTGATCATGAGCTATCTATGCAAGTCCCAATTTAATAGAAGCTTGACTCAATGACTGTGAGCTATCTAAGTGAGTCCCAATTTAATAGAAGCTTGACTCATTGACTGTGAGCTTTCTAAGTGAGTCCCAACTTAATAGAAGCTTGACTCAATGACTGTGAGTTATCTAAGTGAGTCCCAGTTTAATAGAAGCTTGACTCATTGACTGTGAGCTATCTAAGTGAGTCCCAACTTAATAGAAGCTTGACTCAATGACTGTGAGCTATCTATATGAGTCCTAACTTTAAAAGAAGAATGACTCATTAATCGTGAGTTATCTATGTGAGTCCAAAATGTAAAAGAAGAATGACTCGGTGATTACGAGCTATCTACAGTGTACATGAGTCCCAAATTTAGTAGAAGGATGACTCATTGATTGTGAGCTATCTATGTAATTCCAAACTTTGATGGAAGAATGACTCATAGATAGTGAGTTTTCTTAAGAACACCCACACCCAACAGTAGAATAGCTAATGGATTGTTGAGACTTCTTTTTAAGGACCTATCCTCAACAGTTAGATAGCTCATAGATTCTAAGTTACTTGTCACAAAGCTGCCTGCAAGTTAACAATGGTTAATGTATTTCAACCTCGAGCTCCCTGTAAGCGACCCACCCTCAAGATAAGGATGGTTTGTGAAGTGTGAGCTTGCTATGTGAGACCCAACCTAAACAGTTAGTTAACTTAAAGATTGTGAGTTCCCTATAAAAGACCTGCCCTTAAACTACTGATGGATCATAGATTCTGGTTCTCTATGAGTGACCTGCCCTCAAGTTAACAACATTTTCTTAATTGTGAGTTTCCAATAAGTGACCCATCATCATGATAAGGATGGTTCCGTGATTATGAGTCCCTTAATAGAAAGTTGTACTGATCATATAATAGATAGTTCGTGGATTGTGAAGTAAGACCCTCCCTCAGCGGGGGGGTCTTGTATTACAAACTCTCTATACTCCTCCTCCTCCTCACCCTGTTGTTAAAGTTCCACGTCCTCTGATCCTTGTCCACTGCAGCTACCTTTATGGTGTGGATATTACTCAAAATCTGAAAGATAGAAATGATCTTACTCATTTAGACACCTTATTCCAATTATTCAAATGATGTCATTCGTGACAACAAAGGACTTATAAGCCTTAAATTTCTGACTCCCACGAAAATAAACTCAAGAAGGTCTTACGATTGCAAAAATAACAGTATGATGCTGTTGCAAAAATTGAATTGAATTTTGATAAAGAATTTTAAAAAATTAGGGAAATTATAGTCATACATCTTAATAAAAGAAAAAGATTGAACACAAAACAACAAATATTTAAATATTTATATGTGAATGTACTCTAATCTCAAAATCACATATTCGCAAAATAAAAGGTTAATTCTCATGGTTATCCAATGAAATGATAATTACTGGTGACATCACTCCTGTTATATATAACAGGTGAAATACAACTATTACAGAAATAAACTCACATTTTGGCCATCAAACAGACAGATTCGCACATGTCTTCCCTTGATTGCCAGACCTGAAATGCAATGGCACAGCATGGGTAACTTGGGAAACGTATGCTTAGAAATATATTAAACGTTTTTATTAGTCTGCAATGATTTTTTTCACCCCCATATCATTTTTAAGGGTTATTTGGAGGGATATATTTTCTGAGCCTTATGCAATAATTTTCACTTGCAATTGTCATGTATAAGAACCAGAACTTTTAAATGGATCTAGATGCTAGTTCTCAATTCCATCAATTGACTCTATTCAATATAAAAGCAACAGTTGGATGTTTAAAGTGTGCTAAAACAGCCAGCAGCTTTCTATTTATGCAATCACAAAAAGTGCCTGAATTTAAAAAACGGATAGTTCAGGTTGAATTTTCCCCCATGTAACAACTTTTTCAGAAGTTACAAAAAGTTAAAACCTCAAATGTTAGGTCACTGCAAAACATAAATCAATTAAGCATTGTATTAACAATTAGAACAGAAAATTCAGCAAATCTGAAACATATTTGTGACTTTTCAATGTAACATAGAGTGCAGCGTTCCTCCTCCAATTTAACTGACATTTTCAAATGTGAGTATTATTCTATAAAACATGTTAGGTTCCAATAACGTTCTAGAGGAGATCTTTATACAAAAGGAATTAAATAAAGCCAACAACAAACATGGTCATAAGCTTACAAAAAATCATACATTTATATAACATTTATTACAGTGAAACCAATAAATGTATTACCAAAATATATTGTCATATATATGATACCACAGATTTTCAAAAGGTTTAATACATTCCAAAGAGATCAATGTATAACATTTGAGAGGAGGTTTGGGCAGAAAAAGACAAGTTACTAAACATTGCAGTTTTTTTAATCAGCAAATAAAGTGTCAGACTCTAAATTTCAAACACTTAGAAAAATCACTTGTCACACATCAAAATAATTAATACACATCAAATACACGCAGCAATTTTGTTTTTGCGAAAGTTGAGATTTTCTGTTATAAAATGAACAATCATTTTTTTAATAGTTCAACAGCATATACATGTACATTGTTCACTGTTACAGCCTGTAGCTATATTTACATCATACAGTGCTCACTGTTACAGCCTGTAGCTATATTTACAGCAGACATTGCTCACTGTTACAGCATGTAGCTATATTTACAGCAAAAATTGCTCACTGTTACAGCCTGTAGCTATATTTACAGCAGACATTGTTCACTGTTACAGCATGTAGCTATATTTACAGCAGACATTGCTCACTGTTACAGCCTGTAGCTATATTTACAGCAGACATTGCTCACTGTTACAGCCTGAAGCTATTTTTACAGCAGACATTGCTCACTGTTACAGCCTGTAGCTATATTTACAGCAGACATTGCTCACTGTTACAGCTTGTAGCTATATTTGTAAGTGTAAAAGCCTGATGGCCTACTAAGTTAGTACAACAGTTTTAGTTACTTGTTACTGTAATTATTATATAATCACCGTACTAACAGTGTACCCCTGATATGCTATGTTAATCATAGTGAGATAACACACAAAAATTGAAACAAAATTTAATTGATTTTAATTCAATCCAACCATTTTTCACAAGCGTTATTACACACTGCAGATGTTTACTTACTGGGTTCTACTTTCTTCCCTTTCTCATCTGGAGAATTCACATTCCATTAACTACATTACTGATGGCAGGGTGTCATTACATAAATAGAAATGTATTGATAATTAATCAAAAGTTAGTCTCTCTTTATTTTTATTTTTAGCTTGGTCACACTTATTTCTATCAATGCCGAATATCACTGTAATCAAGTGATGGAATTAGACTTGCTTGAAAGTGAGGAGGTTCATCATATGTACGTCAAAATCTCTATAGTAAATGAAGTATTCTACGACACTGTACTACAAGAGATAAGGTCTGGCTATGAACTTGAAATGATCTCATCAAAAGTGACATGTCTTACCTGCCCCTGGCACAGGAATCTGCCTACAGGCCACCAAAGACACTATCCTCTCTATCCTAGAGGTGCGAGGCCTGATCTGTAATTTTGGTAATAACAAAGATTATAACGTGATGATTGTTATGCAGCTAAAAATTAATTAAACAAGCTAAATATTTGTTTGAAATAATCACCAAATTAATAATAATATTTTCCACTTTTATATGAGGATTGAACGGCAATTTTTCAATTTTATGAAAAAATATTTATGCTGGCATGAACATTGAAAACAAGTCGCTCAATCCTTATATTCATATTTACATTCTAAATGTTTGCATCTAGTGGTTGTCTCATGTTATTCCAGGCGGAAGGAGAAGCTTCCAAAAGACGCTGATCCAATTGCATTCATAGTCCTAAAAACTTAATTTCTTATGGTAATGCTCATACAGGAACTTGCAGTGGAAATGTAAATATACATCCATGAATCACCAAACCAACAATATTTCCTTATATATAAATGGATCACTTTATCACTTTACTTACCTTTCCTACTTTGGGATCAAAGAACAAGTCAGCATATGCCAGATTGGAGTTGGCTAGTTTGGGCACTAGGTACCTCTTCATGGTGAACTTCTCCTCTGAAGACAAAAACAATGATGCAAGTCAAGATCCTGTGCATGAAATATACAGCAAAAAAACTTAATGTAAACTACTGCTGAAGACAATGTTATAATGGTGTCCATAAGCAGACAAGGACATCAAAATCTACCTGTATTTAAGCATTGAGGTTGATTTTTTTTTATTTTCATCAGGGTATGAATCCGCATAGCGGATTCTTAAAGTTTGCAAAAAAAAATCTTTTCACAATAATGATATGACAGAAACATTCCGATGCCACAAAGTCAAAATTGTGACAGTTTCTGAGCTAATTCTGATGACTTGAATGAAAGAAAACTACTCTATCATGACAAGAAGTGTAAGATAGGGAAATTTCATTCAAGGAATTTTCAAATTGGTGCCAGTCCATCAAGCCTCAGGTTTTACCCAATCTGAAAATCCCTTGGGTGGAATTTCCCTATCCTACACCCCTGAATAATCCAAGCTTCAAATGGAAAATGAAAAGCTGAGTTAAGGATTTTTATTAAGTTACTAATTAACATTATATAATACATGTTATTACCTGGTAAATACTAATTGGCTCCACAGGGAGACTTACCATCATGGAACTTTGGTCCAAGTGTGGAGGGTCTGAACCCTGAGGGGACTGCCCCGAGAGCATGGAGTACGTCTGTGACACTTGTCTGAAATAAACAGAGTAATAATAGTAACTTTCTGGTGATACCTCACAGTAAACTGTAATTGAAATACATAAATCATTAAATTTGATGTTAATACATAATATTGTACACTGCCTACAGTGTCGACACATATGACAAAGTTACTTTCACAAAAGCACGAGTAATCTACGAGGATAAACATGCATTTACAATATTTTGTTATTTCTAAACATGAACTGGTTCACAGAATAACAAGTTTTTATTACATGACAAGCTTAAAATTTGAAACAGAAGATTTAAAATTTTTACAAATCAAGTGTGATTAAATGTTAACAAAGTTTAAATCAATGAAAAGCTTTATCAAGATCTGACTTGGGATTAATATTAAAGTTTGAGAAACAAGGTCAATTAAATCTTCAAACACATAGTAACTCATCTTTGTACAGGTAGTTATGAAAATAAGATTTTAAACATAGTAACAAGCCTGTCAACAAAAACTGTTGCATTATCATATGGATATAACTATTACATATTCATGTAATATTTTTTAACATTTTTCTGGCCTCACATTAGCTGTATTGAATCTGATACAACAGCCCCCTATAATCAAATTGAGTACAGATTTTGCAAATAGTGTCATTATTTGACTATTCTTACATTCAAACAAATTTTTTATCAATCTTGTTTCTTTATGTATATATGATTCATATTTAATTATTGCATGCAACATTTTTACAAAAGAAAATAGGAAAAGGGTAGCTAGCTAGTGCACCTTAAGAGGTAGCATTTATATTAGAAAATATATCTGCTCGTAGACATACAGGCATGTATTTGAAAACAGTACATTTAATATAAATGTTCTTTCTTATAACCCTATAACACTGTACTGCAATTGAGAATATAATTCATGTAAAGTTGAAATTTGAGGTAAGCATATCATACTTAGAGTATATATGACAGATCACAGAAGTCTGACATCATTGCATTGATACATACAAATCTTGATGATCCAAAGACAATTACAATGTACTTATATTTAGTAGCAACATAAGGATTCACACTCCATGATTTTGATAGAGTAACATCTTAAGGATGCACAACTGATGGGTTTTAGTATGTACAGAGTTAAGGATTCATACTCCATGATTTTGATAGAGTAACATCTTAAGGATGCTCAACTGATTAATTTTAGTATGTACAGAGTTAAGGATGCATACTCCATGATTTTGATAGAGAAACATCTTAAGGATGCTCAACTGATGAGTTTTAGTATGTACAGAGTTAAGGATTCATACTCCATGATTTTGATAGAGTAACATCTTAAGGATGCACAACTAATGAGTTTTAGTATGTACAGAGTTAAGGATGCATACTCCTTGATTTTGATAGAGTAACATCTTAAGGATGCACAACTCATGAGTTTTAGTATGTTCAGTATTAAAGATGCAAAGACAGTGATGTTGGTAAAGACTTAAGGATGCATAGATGGTAATTTTGAGTACAGATTAAAGATGCACATACAACAATTTTGATTATGTAACATCTTAATAACGCAGAGCCAATTTTGAGAACAAACTTAGGGATGCACAGAAGAGGATTTTGAGTAAAGACTATAGGTGTAAGATGGATGATAGTGAGGTATAAGGATAAAGCCCTAAAAGAGAAAGAAAGAAAATGAAATCATGGATGGTAGACTTGGAACTGCAGACACAATATTGACGAGTCAACAAGGTGAGAAAGATGACATCCTTATTAAGGAACTAGCACGTGAAAATCAAGACAAGCTGGGCTTTCATCAGATATCTTCCATCATGATTGGGAATGATCACTGCATGTACATGAAAAGTGCATTGTATAGAACATAAGATTATAGAATCAAAACTGTCATTAGATATGAAAATTACAAGACTTGTGTTGTATCATCATTTGGTTCAACATGCTTTCATTCATGCTATTATGTATACTGTGTATAATGGAACTTCATTAAATTTGGACTCTCGTTTAAACAAGGATAATTAAATTTTCTGACACAGACATTTAGGAAAAATAATTTCCTTTACATAATAGTGACTATTCTTCATATAGAATTTTTCAATTCATTTTCTTTTTTCAAAATTCAGATTGAAAGAGTTCCATTATACATTTTAACTCATTCACCCCTACATATTTAAACTGGACTTGCCCAGTCTTTTATTTGGTAAGGTTCAAAGGTGACTTTAGGGTTGAATGAGTTAAGTTAGAAATTGTGAATGCATTAAAACTAAAAATCTGAAAATATTTGCAAAGAAACAGCTGTAACTAATATGGAGTCCGCTTCGTCTTCTTAAGGCTTACCTTGTTCATTAACTGAAAGTGATAAACACAGGGCGATTGTATTGATGACACGGAATGATACACACAATCAGTGTAGCTACAGCTATATACATTCTACATGTACATAAAAGAACATGTCCCAGTAACCACAAAGAGGGACAAAAACTAAATACCAAGACAGTATAAACTGGGGGACATGTGACCCAACACCAATGTGTAATGAGATAATGTCACCGTTGTTAGGAAAGATCATGTGTGCAGACAGAATGCATTTTTCAGATGCAAAGAAATAATGAATTATAGATGAACAACATTCTTACCAGAAAAAACCCATCTGATAAATGTTACAAATTCTGCGGTTAGTAAGTGATGGAACAAAGTTGACAGTCACATATTTGACTAATGGTTGATAAACAATATATATATCTAGACATGTGATCATTTGATTAGTTCGGTAACCATAGTAACCCATGTTACAGACAAAGAAATGTCACTCAGAGACTAGGGCTATTAGGAGGTATATGTGTTATTTACTTTGTGTAGCTTCATCTGCCTTTTTTCTATATTCTGAAAGTCACAATCAATATTTCTTTGGTAAAATAAAAAAAATAAAAAGATATTTGAAAGCTTGTACAAATTCAACATAAACAGCAACGATACTCCGCATCACCTAGACCAAGCAGCAGCTTCATCCTTGAAAAGAGCATGTAATACATCTACTACTCGTCTAACTTTATATCTTTGAATGAATCTAGCAGAAAATCTAGAACACTGGCCTCGATATTGTAAGTAGGTTGTGATGATGCTAGTTCTCTTGTCTCCATATATATACATTACAATACTTAACAAAGTTAGACACTTTCAAAATGATGAGCTAGCTATAGTATCCTAAGCCTAAAAGTGAACCAAACATTGGCTTGTATACAATTTTCTTCTACCACTTGGTAATTCTAGTTATAACTACCAGTATGCATATGGCAATAAACTCATTTTACAAATCCAGCAGCTGAATTTCATCCCATTACTTTGAACTTCAACATCACCATTCTTTTATAAAAATATTTATCTGGATAAATAATTCTTTGTCTGGATAAAAAAAGAATCAAGTGAACACTCATAATTAAAATTCTTGAAGGCAAAATGTAATTCCTTATCTTAGTTTCTTCGGTTGACTCAGTATGATATATGAATTAAGCACAGTCTTATAATTTTGGAGAAGATACACACATTTTGATGTACACCCCAATGTTGCATCAGAATTTGTGATGTGAGCAATTATAAAACACATGTGTAACACTTAAATGTTTACATTATACATTACTTGGTGACAGTGACTTTTACATTGTAAGATTACGATGTGACATACCAGTGTGGGAATGTAATACATTTGTGTATGGTGCTTAGGAATGCCGTACAAAATGTCTGAAGCCATATCGATTATCTCTCAAGTGTTAATACACAAACACAGTATCACACATCAACACACAAATATTTACTGATAAAATGTTAATTCTGCAAAACACTGTTAAACATAATTACTTTAAATCAAAGGGGACTTGTAATTTAGGTATAAAACTATCTACTGCTTTCTTTTGCATGTGACTACAGGATTATTGAATTGTTGACAAAGCATAAAGGTATATGTATTTCTAGACTATTTAATGAATGAGCTTATCAAAAAGATAATATTTCATTCTGACTGATATCAAGGTAACCTAATTACTTTTGAAAGTGTGGTAACGTCAGGATTTGATTTCATGACTGATCTTTACTTTAGCTTGAATGAAATTATTTCCTCAACTTCAGCGACACTTCCAAAGGGGCACTTTGGATAAAGTGAAATGTTTTAGCTAACATATTTCATCAAACCAGGGCCTGAGTATGATTTAAGAAATCGTTAGCTGATATAACTTTTGAAATAATGTCCGTTTTCCTAACCTAAGGTTTTAAGCTACCTCCGGGGCTACTACCAATTTGTCCGACTAGTATAACTGGTATACCACTACATTATACTATGACTGAACCGACGTGGGGATACGGTACAATACAAAGTGTCAGGCACGCTCATTGGACAGAACAGTCATGTACGAACCCATTTACATTACGTCATCAAACGCTTACTATTTATTTGCACTGAAGACCAAAAAAATAGATTCTTAACTAGGAAATGATTTCATATCTCACATGATAAACTATGAAATTATAAGATGTTTTACTAAATAGCGATTAAATTTCACAAGGAAGGCAAAATGCTTAAACAATTAGATTACACAGGTAAACATTTGGAATTGAGTCGTACATGAATGTTTTCCCACATAAAAAACATCAGCCATCGAGCTATACTTACTGTAGGCTAGAACAAACAGACACATAAGTCAGATTATATACCAGAAGTCTGAGTATACGGTACAACATTCAAATACATCTACTGTAATATACACAAACCAGTTTCATAACAGTTCACAAATTTTAAGACATCCTCAATTTCTTGCCCGAAAATCACAAAACTTCCTAACTTTAAGAACAATTCACAAAATCAAATTTATTTTATGGGCTTTATTTCAAGAGGTAATTTCATAGCATTACTTTTGAACGCTAATTGTATATGCTAAGAAATCACCTTGAAATAGTAGTTGGATTGCAGAAAATCCAACTTTAAGAATATTTGAGATGACGAAGAAAGTTTAAGAAATCATGAGTTACAAACGTTTTAAGAGTTAAGCAAGACTGTCAATCAACACATTCTGAAAATAAATTTGCTAGAATTTCAAATCTGATTTTAAAGATAATACTTTTTACTGATGTTATTTTCTGCAATGTGGTCACATACTTTTTAACAACAGGCTGTTAGTTATTAGTAATAACAACAATATAACACCTTAATCCATAAGTAACCTAAGGTGAGTATGGGACTTTATTAAATGTTGAAAAAAATTGTTGGTGTAGATATATGTATTACACATTTAAAATTTTAATTATTTTAAAATAATATATATGCAGGAGGAAAAAATAATATTATGATACTAGTGTGAAAATACATGTACTATGTTTATAAAACTTTCACCAGTGCTGAAAAATTAGTGTGGGGCAAAAAAGAAAAGAAAACTACTTTGAAATTTTCAAATCAAATATCCCATTTTAACAATGTTTAAGTTGCAAAAGTAGAAGTGTAGAAAGTGTTTTTTTTTTATTTGGTAATGATAAAAAAAAAAACCTTTTACGAATATCTATGATCTATCCATGCTATAGATCTGGTTATTCATTCTGTCACTCTTAAATTCTTGAAGCAAATGACTTTCTTTGTATAGCAAGACTTTTCTTTTTAATGATTCAAGTAATATATGAAATGCTATTTTTTTAAAGTTGTTTCTTTTTTACAATAAAAACTTGACATTCCTGGTAATGCCCCTCAGCCTCATCTCATTTGTCACTTGGCTGGTTTCGCCATTTCAAAGATTCCTCTTTTTCATTTTGCTTCATAATTCTTTCATTGTATTTTAATTTATTCGTTAGGTTCTATGAGATAGAGTTACTTTAAAGGTACACAATTCCTTTCTTTAATACCCAAACTTCACTAGACAAACCAGTGGCAGTATAACAGAGTTTTACTGAACAAGAAATGTTCCATCAAATTATCCTTTAACTAAAAAAAATATTAAAAAAAATCATCAAAAAGAAAGAAAGAGCCTGAAGAGATAGCAGTCAGCAAGGTGTCTGTAACTGTGTTCTACTCTGTAGTTAAAACAACAGGTCATTTAAAACTGTGTCAAACAAAAATCATGCATATTTTTACACAAATCACACAAACTGACAGATTATGGATTGAGTACTTGTATATGTAACATGAATAGTAAACATTAACACAGTAATGCATATTGAGTGTATCACAGACACCTATAATTCATATTGAGTGTATCACAGACACTTATAATTCATATTGAGAGTATCACAGACACTTATAATTCATATTGAGTGTATCACAGATACCTATAGTTCATACTGGGCATATCACAGACACCTATAATTCATATTGAGTGTATCACAGATACCTATAATTCATACTGAGCGTATCACAGACACCTACCTCCTTTACCGCCTTCTTGATTGGTGACCACAGCTTTTTCCCACTATAAAGTACAAGTGATAACAAATAAGAAGACAATGTGTGGGAATAATATATAGAGGATATTTAATGGTTTCCAATTGAACATCATTTATATTTCATGAGATGAAATTCTTCAAGTGTAAGTGTGTAAAGCACAAGCGAAAATATTTGGTATGATCTGTCATACTCATGAAATATAAATGGTTTTCAATGGGAATATCATTAAATTTTCTATTTATTACATTGTTTTAAAAGTAACATAACACAAATATTGTGGCATAAAAAAAGTGTGGAAAATTGGTAGCGTAATATTTGATGCCATGTTCTAATAACGCCACACTTAACAACAAGGTAGAGTGCCATTTTGAACAGGTTCCTCAACGCAATTCTGCAATTAGCTGCTATTATCTGGTAAGATTGTACTTATTGTGTAGTTATTTAAATGCCATAATGTATGAAGCAAAGGTGTACCAAAGCATCCACTTATTCTGTAGACACCTTCTTTGAATTTGAAACTGGAAATCTATGCAGTGAATGTAAAGTACCACTCTGAATGGACAATACTAAAAGTAATATTCACATGTAAGATGGTGCATTTTGTATATCTCCACTGTAGTGAATATTCAGATGTTTCACTAGTAAAAATGTGATAAAACCAGATACTGATGGTGGCTAATGTTCATTAATAGCTCACCAAATTGTTTTCATTTGTTATAACAATAAGTTTGATAATTTAACTGTCAAAACTCTGACATTCCATTATATAATGGCTTTGTCAGTCTGTCCTGTCAAATCTAAGCCAGTCTGTTCTCCCAGAATTTGGTCAGCATGTCCAATCATGACTTGGTCAGCCAACTCTATTATGACTACGGTCAATCCATGACTTGGTCAGTGCTCTCTGTCAAGGCTAGGCCAGTCTGTTGTATCCTTTACTTTGTAATGAATCAGCTATGGAAACAAAGACTTCACTGTACAAATAAAACAGATTTGGAGTCTGTCAACATACCTTCTGCTTGTACCTGGCTCATTTTCATCTCCCTCTTCTTCATCTTCTCCCTCTGGCAAATACAAAAATAATCATAAAAATATCACTTTTCAGAGCATTATTAAGTGTCATTTAAAAAAAAAAAAACTTCTTTCATTTTAACCAAACTTCTGATATTGTACTTTTTCAACAATTATTTTGATCTTATATTTTAGAAACAATTCTGGTTTATAAACATGTTTAAATGCTCTAGGCTCAATGTACAACAATCATACAGTTTTGTTCTGATATCTGACACAATATTGTTATACAATGAAAATGCAAATATTTGCTTTTTAAGAAGATATACGACATTTATATATATATATACTACAGGCTAATATATTTATTTTTATTTTTTTAATAAGACAGGGAAATGTTTATGAAGTCAATAGTTTATACTTACCATCATCTTTCTGAATATCTTTGTATTTGTTGTGCATCTATCGGATGAAAAAGGAAGGGAAAACACTTTCATATATTAATGTAAAGTACCCTCTATAGCATGAATTAAAAATTGTTCTTCTAAAACTTTCAATATCAGTTTTTTTATCACCAAAATTACCCTGATTAACTTTTCATCCAAATCATTTGTCTTCAGTCAGTGTGAAGGACACACATGATATCATACTATGTTATCCTGGTATCTTTCCATTTAAAGCATACTTTTATGATGCACAGTGTTATCTGTCTAAATGGAATCCTACACTATATAAACAATATAATATTATATCTTTTTTTAGGTCTAACAGAATTCATTTCTTTGTAAAGTGGGTCTGTTCAACCTGACAATCTGTCTATTCTCGATGCAACTTTTGGTTCAAATTTCGCTGGAATTAGACTGAATTATATATAATATATTTTTTACAAGAAACTTTTGTGTGAACATGTACTTACTTTCTTAAGTAATGTGTCTGTAAAGGGGCCTTGAAATATGTTCGCGTTAAGTGAAAGTTTGGTGTTTATGCAGTAGTGAATTACAAGATATACTAACGTAGCTTAATGTCATTCAATTACCAGTTATACAGATTTAAACTCACCAGTTATACAGATTTAAACTCACCAGTTATACAGATTTAAACTGACCAGTTATACAGATTTAAACTGACCAGTGCTTTGCATGTTCACACTAAAGTTTCTTAGAGGTTGGGGGTAAAATTAAGCATAAACCATGTGTTCTGTGATCCTTTTATATGGCAAGCCTCTACAATTTTGAGGGTCAAAAGCAATTTAGGTAGTCACAAACCTCCCTATTTGGGGGCTAATGGAAATTTAACCAGTGACCTTGAGCTACCAAGCACATATAACATTGAACTGACCTTGAGGTAAGTTGAGGGTACAACACCAGTGTCCCCAGCTTCATTCTCTGCTTCCCACCAACCATCCTCCCTGTAAAATAGACCACAGTATATCAGCTATAACAATCTGCTGGAAATCCACAATATACTCATGTTTTGTTTGAAATTATATTAATTTTGACTAAATGTCTCAGTTTTGATATGAAATATATATTTATTGTAAAAGTTGCACAATGTATTTGTTTTCCTTGCATAATTTTATCTTGACTGACAATGATAGATTATTTTTAATGACTAAAGATAAGTGATAAATCATCTCCTGTTGGCCAACAACACAGAGGCTATTTAACGTGACTTCATTGCATTAACAGGTATACATACATTACATATATATACGAAGCTTTACATTTCACAGTTTTCATCATTAAAAGAAAAAGATGACCATGACAACGTCGTGCTGGGTATATAACGACTTTAATCCAAGTTTACGTTGACTAGTTTCGACACATGAGGCGTGTCGTCATGTAATACATGTAGAAATTTTCATCTACATGTATTGCATTTAATTAGTAACTATCTTATTTATTCTAATGCATAGGACTGTTTATCTTTATATGTGTAGACTTCACTGCTGTCTTAGCTTGTGCAATGAACACTTGAATATTACTTCCCACATTTTTAGCCATCCCCCCTTTTTTTATTGATGACGTCATTTGATTGTGCATTATGTGTTACATCATTGAAGCAAACCTTGTTATTACTGTTATCAGGTTAGGCACAGTGTTTTTAACCTTATACTAGTCAACGTAAACAATGTACCTGTACGGCAATACTTTATACTCAGCTCTTGCAAAATAAATTCTAGGTGAAAGTTGTTTTATTTTTTCCAATAAGTGAGTCAAGCATTTTTTAACAATAACAATTAAGTCATTAAACTCAAAAGATTCAGTTTGTACATTTAGGTATTAAACAAACATGAAATGATATGGAACATAAAACTAACAGTTTTACAAATAATATACAAAATAATCTGAACATAAAAATCAATAACGTGTGTGCCGATGAAATTGAATTCTAATCTAACACACTGTGATAAAACAAGAACATTTAACATGATTAAAGATCAACCTTACCATCCAGGTACACTACAGGTAAATACAGGAGACAAAAAATAGGCCATAAACAGAGACAAGATGAAAAGTTTTGGAAAGATACATTTGAGATAGATTTTTCTGTCTTGATTTCCAGATATTTCAAGTAAAACTTGCAAACAATATTTCTGAATAAAAGAAAAGTAAGTAGGAAACAGCATATTTCATCAAACTGGAATTGAGTTGAATATTTTTTCCATAAAATTCTGTCCACATCTCCCTGCACATGTAATTTCTAGAGTTATCTACCTTGTCTCTACAATAGTCAGGATGTCGCCTTTGACAAAGCTCAAATCTCCCTCTGCATCCCCTTTGAAGTCACTGATCGCTTCAAACTGCTGGCCCTGGATATAAATATACAATGTTCCTTTATATGTGAAAATAGAAAGACATAAATAAATTATATTATATTGTAAAATAGCAGTCATATGTTTCAGAAACAATTTCATTTTAGGAGCTTTACCCGATCAGTCAATGCAACCTGCCGATCATACAGGTAACCACATTTTTACATATATACCCATATATATCTATGTATACTTACTACGGCAGTCACGCCCATCGTACTTTCCTCCTCCTTTGTTTCTGTCTCCTCTTCTTCCTCTTCCTCTTCCTCTCCTTCCTCCTCTTCCTCTTCTTCAACTTCTTCCTCTTCGCCTTCTTCCTCATTTTCTACCTCTTCTTCTTCAACTTCCTCCTCCTCATATTCTTCATCATCTTCTTCCTCTTCGTCTTCATCTACATCTGTTTTCATTGTTGGTGCATCAGTTCTAAACATTTGAGAAAATTATAAATAAAACAGCATTTTACTTTATTTTGATTTTTTATTGTAACTTATTTTAATCACTCTGTTGGCCCAGATGTAAGTACACAGGGACTCTTAGTGGGAGGAAACCGGAGTACGTGGTTGAGAAGGTATTCATATAGCTTATCACATCCAACTGGAGAATCAAACCCTGGACCAGCAGGAAATCACTTGTTTAATTGTTATCAGTATTCATAAAACATATCAACATTCCCAATTCAGTTGACTTTGAGAAATAATTCTATACATGAAGATAAGACTACATTACCAAATATATTCTATAACGGTGGATATATGATACATGTATGATGATATTTAACACATAATAACTGATTCATAGCTACTAGTGATGGGCTGATGATCGGTTATGATAAAAAATTGATTGGCTTGCCCTTTTTGATTCTGAATATCAGTTAAGAATTCCTTAATCAATCCAATCCGTTCAACTATGAGTTCAAGTGTCAAATGTGCATGTATACACTGTGGAGTATTCATTGAAAATCATTTATTCTTATATCTTTGAATCATATGATTGAGGCTAACATGGAAAAAAACATCAAAATTGCATAAAATGTAATTGTAATCCATTCATTATAAAAGATGAAACCTAATATATAGTTAACAATTCTGTCTATTGATGTAAAAACAGTGTTCTCACTTTATTTGTGTATTTAGTCCCATAAAATTGTACCGATTACACAAATGATTATCGATCAGTTTACTACTTCTGATAGCAAACTGATAATATATGATTTTAAACTGACTGCCCATCACTTATAATTACACAAAACCTACTTCATAGTTGTTTCATCATCCTCTTCTTCTTCATCATCTTCTTCTTCCTCATCTTCATCCTCTTCTTCCTCCTCCTCATCTTCATCTTCTTCTTCTTCCTCCTCTTCCTTTTTCTTTTTTGACTTAGATGGGCCAGCTTTTGGTGCCTCTGATTCTATTGAAGTAAACAATCAAAATATCTCAATTCAAAAACTTAGTACATTACAGCAAACATGTGAGTTCTGGAATAATAACATCTTTGTTTTTGTATTAACATATGTCATACATTTATTCTCAATACTATACATTGTTTTGATCTCACTGGGGCAAACGTTTGTTGTATTTCTCCTGGACGCAATTTACAGTTCACTGCTTACTGTCTTTGATGTAAGGCCAGTTCTCACTCTGACAAACAGTGGATTCACAGATTGTTTTGTAAATTGTAAAATTGTAAAATACTATACTTCCTATTAAGTACATGTACCTGTATTATCTGTATCTGGTATACTTCATAAGTGCCTGTATTATCTGTATCTAGTATACTTCCTAAGTGCCTGTAATCTCTGTATCTGGTATACTTCCTAAGTGCCTGTAATCTCTGTATCTGGTATACTTCATAAGTATCGGTATTCTCTGTATCTGGTATACTTCCTAAGCGCCTGTATTCTCTGTATCTGGTATACTTCCTAAGTGCCTGTATTATCTGTATCTAGTATACTTCCTAAGCGCCTGTATTCTCTGTATCTAGTATACTTCCTAAGTGCCTGTATTCTCTGTATCTAGTATACTTCCTAAGTACCTGTATTCTCTGTATCTAGTATACTTCCCAAGTGCATGTAATCTCTGTATCTAGTTTACTTCCTAAATACCTGTAATCTCTGTATCTAGCTAAGTGCCTGTAATCTCTGTATCTGGTATACTTCATAAGTGCCTGTAATCTCTGTATCTATTGTTACTCTTCATGCACAAATACTGTTATAGTTTTCTCTATAAAATACCTGTCTTCTCAGTTTTTTGTAAACATGTGCATCCGTAATATATATACCCTCTCCCTGGTATTAATCTCATGAATTTGTCTTACCTATATTTCAAAATCCTCAATACTCTGTCATATACATTGTATATGCCTGATTTGATTGTTTATCAAATTTACATCGTAAATACTTGTTTTTTAGTGTATCTGATTTACATCATATACGCATATACCTGTTTTTTAGTGTATCTAATCAACATTGTAAATACCAGTGTTTTAATTACCTGTTTTTTAGTGTATCTAATTAACATTGTATATACTTGTTTTTCTGTGTATCTAATTTACTTTGTATAAACCTGTTTTTTTATTGTATCTAATTTACAGCGTAGAAACCTGTTTTTTGGTGTATCTAATTTACAGCGTAGATACCTGTTTTTTGGTGTATCTAATTAACAGGGTAGAAACCTGTTTTTTGGTGTATCTAATTTACAGTGTACATACCTGTTTGTTGTGTGTCTAACATTTCTGTTGTCTCTAGTTCCTCATCCTTACTGTCTTCATCTTCTTCTGCTTCCTCCTCCTCTGCATCCTCCCCTTTCAGCTCCCTGTAATTAGTGGTGTGATTATGACAAACATTTTAGGTAAAATATTGACAATATGTCAAGATCAAAGTCACTGTTACTAAAAATACACCATAGGGTCAGGTATGGTCAGGCACATGGGGGGGGGGGCAGTTTGCTGATTGTGTTCTACTTACTTTATTCAATTTACTTACTTTAAGTAGTCAGCTCCTTTCTCATCTGGTAGTAGCTTTGCCATGGTGGTCTCGAGCTGCCCCTGCAATAGCAAATATGTATTTCGTAAATTTAACCATAAAAATACATGATAGAAGTTTGTCATAAGGACACATGGAAATGTCAGTGACTTCAAATACTACCAGGGGGTATGTATGATCATTCACTTCAAAGAATGCTTTTTTCCAGTGCAGGTTTTTCGCCGGTGATATGAAAACAATCCAAGACTCCTACAGCCACATACTAAATTATAGGTTACTATAACCATGATCAGTGATCTGTAGCTTTCCTATTGTCTCTCATGTGTCTCCTCAGACCCCCATCTACGGTTACCAATATTACCACTGTTAGGTGCTGCATGCGTCATAAATGGGATCCTTTTCAAATAAAACGTGGTCAAATGGAATTATCAAAAAAAAAAACCAAAAATATCCTTTTGAAATTCTATGATTCAATAGGATATTGGATGGTGTGAGTTCAAACTCGGACTATGTGACCATACACATGAGTGTTCTATGTCAGTGTTTTTCTAACTAAATTGAAAGATATTCCTGATTAGATGTTTTCTTCATTTTTTTTGGAGGGAAAATTATACACTTTTATGCTCGAGGAAGCAATCTGTTTTATGCTGTAAAATAAGGGATAAGATGTTTTTGATGTTTTTTTAACCTAATCAAACAGCTAATCATTCAATGAAACAGAGAATCAGATTTTCATGCATTAAGGCTGTCACATATACAATTTCCAGGTATTTTTTATGCTATGATCACAAACTGGACATCGATATCTGTACATGAACAAAAATTACCTTCCACGTGGTAATTCTGACAGTCTCATGTTTCTTCTTATTTTCAAAACCTTTAAACTTTGGTGGTTCATTTGCCTGTAATGTTGAGAGAGAAAAAACACAAATCAACATTGGATGTAAAAAGACAACACCTCGTAAAACAAGGACGATCAATATAACTAGTTTTATACTTATTGTCAAATAATTAGAAACAAGTTTTGATTTTCATTGAATTTTAAATTGTGATTAATCAAAAGTAAAATCTGCCTAAATGTTCAGTTTTCAGAAAGCAACCCAATAAAAATGTTTGTGACATGGTCATGTTCAGGTTATTGATATATCACACATAATTCAACAATTCAATAATACTGCTAATGTGTACCTCTTCAAGGGCTTCTGCCTCTGCCAACAGCGTTTCTACAGGTTCTATCAGATCAAAACACCTGAGAATGAAAATTTAAAACGATACTGTATGTTATCATCTTATAACTAAAATTATTTTAACATTTATGCTATCCAAGGCTGTACCCAGTCTGAATATATGCTTAGGGTAACGGTAATTTTAAGTTAGGTCTATATAAATGGATACAAAAGTTTGCATTAAAACCTTCCCTACCCTAGATTATGTTGCCTACCTGTTTAAATATCAATTTGAACTTGTAAAGTCAGAATATCTGCTCATATAACCTAGATAAAAACAGATTATGAACAATAAGAATACTTGCCTCCCTACTAACTACCTATCTTTTTTTCTGACATAACATGAAACACATCTACATAATTGTTTGGCTTTAAAATCATAATTACATTATAGTTTGTTTGATTAGTTTCATGTTTAGTCCACGAGTTCTGCTCTCCATACAACATAAATCTACTAACTCTCTAATCTTCTCATAAAAGATGCAAAACAATCAAATTAAATGAAAATGATCAGCTTTAATCTTACAATTGATATTAGGTTCCACAATCTATCAGCCTTGATACTGGTTAGTTTTTGATGTCTCGAACTAATCATATAGATATATATATTAACCATGGGTCTTCAATTTTATCATGAAAAAATACAAGGGAAAAGAGAAGACATGTATCCCTTCCTCGTATATAACTCTTGGAAGACACAATGACCTACTGTATAATCTTGTCTCCAATGTACATATGATGACATTAACGAGTCAAGTCACAGTGAGATGTAATGGTATCAAGTTACAATGAAAATTATTCTGATTCTTGCATCAGTTACATGAATACGATTACCATGGCAGGGTTTATTTTGGGGCCATAATTTGACCTCTGCCTCCTTTTGAATGGAAAATGTTGCTATGATACTCCAAAGTCTCTCTACAATTTCCAAACACATTTTTGGAACTTTAAGCATATCTATTCAGATGGCAAAGCAACTACGACACCTAAAATGAAACAATTTCAGAAATGAAATAATCTTCCATAAATGAAGCTGTTTTATTCTTCTTTTAGGTGATACTTTGCAAAAAAATAAACCATTTTTTGGTATAATTTCAAAATTTTCCAATTTAGTTTACTGTAATGCAATTTCCCCTATTCATTATAAACCAACTAAGTTTTGCCTGAATCAACAGAAGAACACCTGTACATGTAAATCTTACCCTTTGAAAGCTTCTTTGAGTTTTACTTCATCGTTTTTTGTCTTTGAATTGCTTGCAATCTTATTGCTGTCTTTGACTTGCTTGTCAATCTGAAAAAGAAAAAAAGAGATGAATAAGAATTTTGAAATACTTACATATGTAGGGATGTAAAATCCAATTTCAGATTTAAATTACACTGCTTCAGGGAGATATTGAAACACTGATGTTTAAAATGTTCACTAGCTCTGATATAACAATAAAATCTACTAGCCTGAACATCATGCCAGTGGAATTGTACACATAAAATACTGGTTCCAGTTGTACATGTAAATGTAATGGTAATCTACTGTTTCCTGTACAACCATAAAGGATGTGTATTAATATACAGTCACAGTCAATCTACTAGATTCCACAGGAGTGAATTCAGATAGGGTATTCACTCGACTTTCCAAAATCTCATGAATGTGAGACAAATTTTCAAGATTCCTTTCGTTTACTTTTATATGACATAGAAACACAAGTGACTAATTATGGAAGACAATTTCATGACTCATGTCCTGCCCTGGCCTCAAACTGACGACCTAATGCAACCAATGATCACCTAGCCTTGAAATACCTGTAGGTCTTGGGTGCTGTACATGCATGTCGGTTGTGAGCTGGAGGTACGGACAAGCCACAAGTCATAAAATTGTCTTCGATTGTCAGTTGTGTTTCTATGTCACAAACGGTCTGTGAACAATGAGTCTATCCCCCCACCCACCCCAAAACTCCTATTGATGTAGGGCACTAATTGTAATTAACCATCCTCCATCCTTGATAGTCAAGGGGTTACGCTCAGTTTCGCTCTCTGCACCCCTGAAATATGTCATAGCAAAACTGACTTTTATTTTTAAATGTCTTTATATATGAAGTAATTATGTAATAGAAAACATAAGGCAATAGATTTTTTTAAACATAGTGGGATTTGCAATACAAGAGAAGTAACTCTTGTAATGGCTGCATGTTTGAACATGTGCAATTTTGTCATTCCCTTATATTTCATAGAGTATTTGTATTATTAAAGGTAAACGTTATCATGTTAAAGATGTATATCATGTGGATTTCAATCATGAACTATATCTGTGGTTTAATCAGGACAAAGCAGTAGTGTAAAAGAAAATAGCAACCGATCTGGAAATCTGCATTCAAACATTCCCGGTTTTGTCGGCACAGACTACTAATGTCGAATATTTGCCTTTGAATTAATATTTCGATCATTAATTCGTCTTAATATTGAAAAAAAAGATTCACCTGTTTCTTAAGCTTATCTGCTTCTTTCTGTACTTTTACCAGGGGTGTTGGCTCTTTCGGGGCCATTTCATTACATTCGTTAGTTCTTGCTCTTCTGTTTATCCGCCATTTGCAAACAAATGTTTATTACATCGTGATAACCCACATACTTTTTTGAGCTTTTTACTATCATATTAAAATATATTTCATACCAAAAAAATCAACATTATTGAAACATTGTATGTGAATATTTTAATAAAATTAAATACATGGACATTTAGTATAAATACCACAATTATTCAATAAGTATGTGGAATATCACTGATGACACAAATTATCTCCCTTAGACCACTCAGTTGCCTCTACGTATCCATCCTGACTGCAATCTCATTAAAATCATATGTTAATAAAAAAAATACCTACGACTATTCATGCGGTACGCAGATTGTCCTGAATGCAATTTACTTCTATTACTAATAGTTTTGAGAACATTGATTTATCTATGTGGTTATTATATCTTTGCACTTTTTCCTGCAAGTGTAAATAAATAAATAACTTTAGGTCTCAGGGAAAAAGTAAAGAATATGCGCATTTTTCACATATAAGTTATAAGACAGCCTTATAAATACTGTGATGTGATGTCTACAATAATCTATTAATGAAAGATAATTATAATAATAATAACGATTTTTTTTTTTTTTTTTAAACCGTGGGAAAAGTTGCTTCCTGCAATTACCTAATACTTCGTTTACTGGAACAACTCTTAAAGGGATAATAACTTTCTGCTGTCTGAGTGTCATGAAGGGGGAATGAGTACACTAACTGTAGCATGTGTAGAATTAGTTTTGAACACAATATATGTGGAAATCGAATAAGAAAATAAATCGGAATTAGGGAACTGATAATGTCAAAAATCTCATAAATATCGGTCAGGGAGGAAGTTTTTCATAATGGTGGAAATCTTATCTGAAGTGGAGGAAATGTTTTCCAAATTAAAAAACAGTGTAGCTGAAAAAAAAGTAGTCAAATAATGCCTGTTTCCTGTGTATTATTAAGCATGCGAGTTTAAAACTATGGCAAAACCAACTAAAATACATTGTAGAATTGCAAAACATTTCACTGCATATACAAATTATAAACATCAGTATTGCTTATAACAAAAAAATGATGTTCTGCTTAAGAAATTGGATTTGTTGCCTTTTTAAAAAATATATCAACTATTAATTGATTTCAGTGATGTTTGTTTGTGGTTAATTAATTTAAATATGATATCTGTATTTAATTTGCACACATGACGAATAGCTTTCAAACACAAAAATATCAACTTTGTTGGCCAGAAGGGCTAAATTTGAATTAATTTCAAGTCGACATGCCGAATTTACTACCTTGCATTTTAAAATCAAACAAATCAAATCAATTGTTCTAACTAATTAGCTACCCTATTCAAACGATTATCAGCCTTCTCCTGTTAACCATTTCTCTTCATATGAAATTATACTAATACTCTAAAACCAGAGACAAATTTTTACCACCAAACGAATAAATCACCACAAAAAAGCCTATTGTACTGCTTTTCTTATTGAGTTTGGTGTGTGTGTGTTGAGACGGAGTTCTGTGTTTTTATGATGCTACACATTCAATACATTTTGAAATGAAACTATGAAGATGAATCTCGGCTTATGATTAATAAGTCATTCCATGTGATGTTAATCTTTCTCGTTCTAGTCTTTTATCTGTTTATTATTAAAAAGGAATGTGACGTCCAGACCTCTTACCCAAACTGCACACCAATTATTGTCCAATACTTTGTCATTCTTTTTCATATAGATTTCTTAATACAATAAGTTCATAACACGAGTTGTCATTTGTTGTTTTTGTACTTCTTCGTATATATAATATTTGGCGAGAGACTTGAATTCTGCAAGTGTTAATTAATTGCTTTTAGTCTAATCACGGAATTAGATTATCTAAGTCCGTGGTCTAATAAAGTGACAAATTTTTTGACCGTCGTAGTTACACCAATAACTAAATGGTATATATATATATATAACGGAGGAACTTGAAACATCTTCTGTTTACTTAGTGCTATTTGACTGATCGTTGATATATGCTTTTGTATATATTAGCTAAAGAATGTTACTTGTTTTACAAAACAAAACAAAAAAAGCAGAACGAACGCACCCACTGCTGTACGATTAAATCAAGCATGACGTCATCCTCCCACTTATTTTGGAACACTGGGCATGCGTGAAATAATTGGAAGGAAGTGGATATTTAGCATCAACGTGAAACACACAAACATGAAAAGTGGGATGCTTTAAAACTCGACAGAGACTTTTCAAATGTAAGTATGACAACCATTGTTATGTTTTGAAAGTATTTTGGTCAGTTAAGTTCGTTTTCATTCGCAAATACCTCTCAATGAGTCGAAATACCCGGCTTGTCCACTGTCATCCTTCGTAGTGTCACTGACCTACTGACTAGATGTGTATTGAGCTTTTTGTGACACAATGTCAAAACGGTGTGAAAATGATGTCAACTTCAGAAAGACGATCATTTATGATGCAGTTCGAATAGGGGGATGTGTGTTTATTTTGAACTGATATAAGGAACAGTTGAAGTAGTTAAGAAATAAATAATAATAAAATAAATCGATCCTTATTCGAACCGGCATCTTCAGGTTGGAGTTTGTGATAGGGGCCTGTGACAACCGCATACGAAAATATTGTTTCCATTCACACCTTTTGAGGTAATTTGTTTTATTTCATGGTTTTTAATGTATGGTCAAAATCAGTACGAGACTTATGATGCAACAGTCAGATGCTTTAAATCTAAAAGAGGTACTGTAATACTTTCAGAAACAATATTCATTCAGCGTCATCGGTCTCAAGGAGTTTTACTGGAGACAGACATTGAACGTGTTATATAGATATTCAAAAAGAAGGGGGTGGTATTCCTCCCCCCCCCCCACACACACACACCTTGAGAAAACAGGGTCTATGTCTTGTTATATATGATACTGCACATGATTCACTGTCATTTTTTCTATTTATTCTACAAAGGATTTATACATTACTTTTTCCTGTTAGTCTGTAGACAGCCTTTTTTAGTCGCTGTCCGATTCACTGTCCCATTTAATTTAGCTCCGAGACAATTCACTTTTACAATGTCTAATAAGTCCTAGAAGGAATCACTCTACTTGTCCCAGGTGATTCAATGCCACTTTGTCCTTCTTCTTCCGGTACTGAGTTGGGTTCCATACAGAACGTTATAGACTAGTTACAGATATTTTTCTCTAAATATTAACACATTTTCAGTTTCAAAATAATCTCATTTGCTATGGCTTTGCCCTGTTAGATTCAAGATTATCAGTAATGTAATAGGATATATTTGCTAATTTCATTATGCAAACGTTAACTAATATTATATAAAGATATTTGATGTACATTTCACAAGATCACTGTATCAGCTGAAAGCCTTCAATGTTACACTGAAAGATATTCTGAAAATGAATCATAAACCACATTGATAGTTAAAATGAAAGTAGATAATTCATTACTAAGTCTTTTGTAGACTTTTCCTAGTGTTTTATTCATATATTTCTGAACATGTTGTTAAAAGTATTATTTCTGTTGTACACCATGTTGTCATAATATTCACATACCTGTCCATATGCTAAATTTCAAAACAACTTATTGCACATTTAATCCCAAGCTTTATATATATTAATTTTCTAAGGAAACTGTTGTTTTTTGTTTTTGTACATTTTGGATACATGTACAAGGTTTTTGTTTACACTGTCAGAGTGTCCTTTATATCCTTCTGAAGCATAGAATTCCAAAAGAACACCACACTTTTTTCAGTGATTACATTTAAACTATGCAGAAGAATCCTATTTGATTTAATACCGACCTCATTTATGACACATGCCATGCTAGTAATACTGGTATGGTTTGTTAAAAGTCAAGGTCACAGTTACTAAAAATAGAAGTTATCTTGTGTGATTCATTTGACCTCCAGATCAGGTGATCACACAAAACTCAGACTTAACCCTTAATGCAGTAGCTAACTGATTTTGTGTGCTATGTTGATCAAAGACCAATATGTGTGCTCAGTCTCACTGACAATAGAATTTTGTCCCATCCTGTGTTCAGAACCAATTATTTTACAAAACTCAAACTTGATAGGGATGGTGAAGAATTGGTTGCCATAGATGACGGTCAAGAATCCTAATAATCTGACATTGAACAAATTGGACGTAGATTGTCAAAGGTCAAGGTCACCCAGTTTTGCAGTAATCACTTCATACCAGACATATAATGGCAAATATTTCATGAAGCAAAACTCTTTCCTGATGCAAATTATTTATATGTCAACCTAAAATGTTGCTGATAGTGTTTTTGAGGGGGGTCAGGAGGAGATATCCTCAGGTGTCCCTGGCAGCTATCTCCTTATTGGTGAAATAAAGATGTATGATATCTTATGAAAAACATGGAAATGTGGTAACAACTATTAGTGCCAAAACCTGAGAGATGATTTCAAAAAGTTTATATCCCGTAGCATAAAGTTTGGCAAATATGTTGATAATAAAATTCACATTAGGCTATGTTAGCACAAGCAGTACACTGCACAAAATGCAAGCCACATTTATATGCACTTTTTATATTGTGAAAAACAGACAACATCGTTCTGGATATTGGTTTTAGTATCATGTATTCATAATTCATACAGGTCTAGGTACAGTATAGTATGTACTTTTACTTACTCAGTGTTAACACCCTCCATTAATTTTGCCTGTACACATATTTTTGTAAAGTTCTATTAACCCCTAGATTTCTTGATTATATATATAAACTATATAGATATGGCTAACTATTTCCTAATTAATGATAAACAACACCTAATTAGACACATGGTCACACTACATCATATCTTTGATATAGTCTGGCAGTCTAATGGTAAATTCCACATTAATATATATATACATGTATGTGCCCTTTAAGTCTCTGACAAGCATTAATTTTGGATATTCTCCCCCTCAAACTCAGTAATTGATATGTCAGATCCAGTCTCTGGTTTAATTGGTTGTAATGTGTGTTAATTAGTTAATTACTAGATTAAAAAAAAATATAATTCA